TCGTCATGGTGACCATGTTGGTCGTGATCTTCATGGTGAGACTGGTGATCGTCATGGCTTCGCCCTATGACACAGCACGCTAGTCTTGGTCCCTGAGTACCATGGCCGGTATCGACGTCTTGATGAATCTGTAATTGATGTAAGAACATACTTAGGTATTTTAACTATCATTTAATTTGTTACGTATCCTGCAGTCACGTGCAACTTTGATTGACATTAAAGTAAAATTTCCGTTGCTTAACATCATAACACTACTTGCGTAAAACCAATGACAATATCCTCAAATATCTCGTTCGCTGCTATTTATATGCTTTGCATAAAAAACAACATTAAACTAGGAAATTCTACCTTACCATTTTAAGAATCGGCTTACAGGTTCGTCCCCAGTGATTCCGACACGAAGAGTCAAATATGCGTCTTCTAACTCTGAAGAGGTTCAGACGCTATCAAACGGTCTAGACATTGCGGTCAAAAATTGAGACAATCACGTGACTACTTGCTTGATTAACACTACTCACGACTAATGATCGGCCGATGAGTTGATGTAAATCAGCATGGATCGTCTGGTTGTTGACATATAACCCTTGTTCGTCACCAGCTATGTTTCCTACGTCTCCTACATGACTGAAAATAAGATAAATACGTAACCTTGAACAGCTAGTACATCGGGGACTTGTATATTAGTTTTGATTTTCTAGATGTTAAGCAAAATACTGAAAACAGTTTATTTATGCCTGTCAACGAAATTGTGACACACAAGACAGTAAGACTCTTGAAATAGCATTTAAACAATGCTGTTAGATATCTTGGTTGTAATAATTATCATAAAATATTTCTTGCGGTGTAAACATCGTGGTTTGAACATAATCTTACATTTTATCTCGCACTCAGTTTTTAAAAAAAAAATTCGAACAGGCAAAAAAACACCGGTAATAAACAGGGCTTACCTATCAGTGCTGCCAGCAATTCCGTGTTGTTTATTGGTAGGGTTGTAGTGGTCCCCGAGGGAGTCACAACACCGCTCCATGTCCCCGCTTTCATGTACATGTATAGCGTGACTTACGCTTGGCTTCAGATTCCTGAGGTTGTAGTGAACACTCACTTCATCTTCGTGGGGCTGAAGTTACAAGTTATTTTATAACAGTATATTGACATTGCAAGTTCCTATATGAGCGGAATGTAACCGATTTCCGTTCACACCGGCATGCAATAAAAAAAATGTCGTTCAATCCTGATAAACGTTATGATAAGTAACGGTATTACGGGTATCGTTGTGGTAAGTACTGGTGTTGTTGTTTATGTTGGGCGAACCAGTCGTCCAACTCCTAAATTGCTGAGTTTAAGCAGGAGTAGAAACTACCATTTTCACAGACTCTGGTATGTCTCGCCATTGTCAAGGAAGACATTAGGAAGAAGAAAGTAGTTTAGAAAAAAAAAGAAAAAATAAGATCCCAAATTTAGTCGACCTTATGATCATGCAATGGGGGCAGCAGGTACAATTCTTACGCCCTACCTGCAGGGACCTACAATAAGGAAATGTAATTGATTTAAATGGCAAAATGTTATCCAAAGACAGTTTACGTTCGAATGGGGCCTGTATGTCAGTATAACTGTTATTTAGAGATGATTGGCATAAAGACAAATCTAAGAGCTGCTTACAAGTGAAAATCTAAATCTTTTCTTACCTTCTGAGTCAACTCGATATGTCCTCTGATCTTATAAGTGAGATCGGGAGTCTGCATGTTGGGCATTATCTCACAGTGTGCGTGGACCTCTGTTTAATATAATATATAGTTATAAGTGGTTACGCTATTTTAACTTACACAGGAAACAAAGTGTAATCTAACGTCTCAAGAAATACAAATATATGTGTGTATTAGGATAGTCTCATTGTTTATATAATTGTCAGTAATTGGTTTGGTTAAAATCTGCTCAAAATGGAATATATTTGGAAAAGGGAAATACAACTTTAAAGACTTGCTCCACAATTACATGGGTCTTACCGTGTTCCTGATGAACCGCTTCTGAATGCTTTTCGCAATGACCATGTCCCTCTTCAAGCTTCATGTTGACATAGATGTTATGAGCATTTGGGTAATGGTTGTCATGGTGTTCGCTGTGATGGTGTGTGTTGTGGCGATGTTTATGATGGTGTTCGTTTTGATGGTGATTGTCATGATTGTCATCTCCGGTGTTTGTTGAATCGCTGTCATCGGCGATGTTTGTGGAATCGCTGTCTTTGGTATGGGTGCTTTGGCTGTCATCGACATTGTCATCGTGGTCAGCATGTGTATTAATAGAGTGGTCATCGCCATGCTCATCGTGGTCAGCATGGTGTTCGGTGTCGTGATCGTCATGGCCATCGTGGTCAGCATGGTAGCCGGTGTCGTGATCGTCATGGTGATCATGATGGTCGTTTCCTAAATGAATATGAACCCCATGGCTCTGCTCCTCAAGCTTGTGAACTTGTTCAGATAACTTCTCTACTTGAGCTTTTAGTTCTGCAACCTCGTCAACTATAGCTGTAACTAGAAACACAACACAAACACTAAGACTACAAACCAGCGAGACTGGGCAACACATCAACATCAATACGAGATTAAACACCAGCAACAATTCGATTCGAGACAAATTATAACCAATAAGACACTGTACACCAACAATATGAGGATGTACACGTCAATAACATCATACAACTGTACAACAGCAAGAACAACTCCACGGCGGAAAAGGAGGAATAGCGATACAATAATGTCCAATTATATTCTAATCAATATTATAATAATATATAATGTCTTTTGAAACTTACAGCCAAAATAGCGAAGAAATTGCATGTTTGTTTTAATTTGTTGACTAAACCGGAAACAGTCAAATCGTTTTCAACTTTATGATTGCATAACATGAGTGAGCACTACCAATGAAATCCTGGTCGATTCAAAATTTCAGGCAACTTGAAACCCGAGAAACTCATAAATGCACACTTATGAACAAATATAACACAAAAATTTCATAACATTCTCTCTTTTATCCACCGAATTAACTTACTTCTTCTCTGCTGTAGTCTTCTGCCATCGTTTGGGATGATCAACAACAAAGCCACCAGAGCTACGGTCCCAAACAACTTCATGTCTGCTATTTCTGGGTACACAGTTAAATGGGGATAGCCAACAAAACACCCGGCTTTATAACAGAAAGTATCTATATCTTAACGTGACTGAACAGGGGGTATGTGTATTTACGCGATATGACGAGAAAAAGCGAGATAACAGATAACCAATGAGTTAAGTGTGTATGTTATGAACTGTGCCACAACTGACGAGAATAGTGTGGCTATCGTGGTTACGACAATCCTCGGAGACTAAGAAATAAACGAAAGGCTCACACAGATGACCGCACCTGTAAAATTCCGTAATACAGAATTCCAAAAAATCGCTGCACCAAGGATCTGTTTCTTCCTCCAGGACTCGTCATGATCGGTATAATGCTAAACAGTAGCGAGATAGGTGAAATCCATACTGGTGTAAACTGCTGAACGATCGAGACCGGAATATAATTCTGGTACTCTGGGAAACGACGAATGAACTTGTCAGCTACCGTTTTAGACTGCTGTTTTCTTTCGATTTATATTACTAACATGACAAATGAAATATTTCTGTGTGCGAGAAAGTCGTGGTAACGGCATACCCTGAGGAATTTTCGGTTCTTCGTCATTTTTCAAGATTGTTTTGTTAATGTAGAAAAAAAGAACATTTGATAGAAAACTTTTAAAATTTCGTTCATCTAGACTCATACCCGTTTTGTTATATCTAACAAAAGTGTAAAGTTTTATTAATCGCTAAGTTTTATTCTGTTTGTTTGCATGAAAAAAATAATACCGATTACGTAAGTAGCGTTAAACGTACAATCGAAGTTGACAGTACTGAAGTATATAAGAGGGGTTATGTAATCTGGGTAGGACTTTGGAATGGGTTATTTCATAACCATACATGTTTTGGAAGTCATACAGTTACTTTTTAAGGGTACATATTTTCTCTGTTGTGTACGAAACCGGCATGATAATACATGTATTTTATCATTAAAACAGGCGATACAAAACAATTTTACATACCATTGTCACTTAGAATAGCAGCTATGCATGCATGATAATGATAGTATTGTTTGTGGTGTTATATCTGTGTGATAAACACATTTCCCTCCAATCTCGACCGATCACTAGCTATCAGCTCGGGCCGGTATCAGTCGATCTGGGTTGACTGCCTCATTCAAGTCCGGTCCTGTAAGGTCAGGTCACGTAAGGTCAGATCAGATGATCAGGTCAAGTCAGGTCAGTCAGGTAAGTTCAGGTCAGGTAAGGTAGTGTCCGGTCCGGTCAGGTCACGTAAGGTCACGTAGGAGAATGAGGAAATGTTTAAATAAATAAATATGCAAAATATGATGGTTGTATAATAAGTTATCTCGTGCTAGCATATATGCTCTGTAAGATTGTATGTGTGTGGGTGTGTGTGTGTGTGTGTGTGTGTGTGTGTTTCTTTTCATGATTATATGTATTATGAAAAAATCGTCGAAAAATAAACAATTAAAAAAAAAAAAAAAGGTCACGTAAGGTCAGATCAGGTCAAGTCAGGTAAGTTCAGTTCAGGTAAAGTCAGGCCAGGTCCGGTAAGGTCCGGTTACCTCAACAGCCAGTTTCACCATATTAAATTCATAGGACGTATACAATTATGTTAATATAAAAACAGATGTCAACATGACTGAAAAACAGTTGAAGATAACACTTTTATATAACACTTAAATGCAACTCTAGTTTTGCTTTCATCATGCAAGTGATTGAAGTTCTGTTAAAATAAACTTATATTATAAATAGTTTGTATAAATTGATATAAGCATGAAGCTTAACAATTCTGCACCGATAGATATAAACTCAATATTTAATATCTTGAAATAAAAGTCCACAGATATTTCGCTAACCTCATACATCAGATTCGTTGCGTTGAACTTGTATTTTCCCTGCAACAGAAGAATCTGATTGAATGGCATCAGATATAAAATGTTTGGAACGATTGGAATGGGTGGTTCAGCAAAATGCCATTTGGTACTGCTGACACAATGGCAGGTTTTAGTGAAAACAACACATTGTACAATTTATTATCAGCTTTCAAAAAATGTTCAAAATGTAGTGACTGACAGATACACTCTAATAATAGTGCTTTTTACCACCTATGTCGCCTAGAATCGCTTGGAGTCAGTGGATATCGATGCATAAAACACAAATTCCTAATTTGTTTAGTTCTTCAATCTTTAAAAAGAATAGATTTTTTTTTTTTATTATTCTCTTTATTTTTCTGAAAAGCACAGCAATTGAAGGGCAATATAAAATATGTTGAAGATGAAATTATGAGAATGATTTAAATCCATGGTTGACAACATCTTTGTTGAGTAAGATGGCTAGATTCTCTAACAGACATTCCTACGGGGGAAAAAACCGAGCCCCTCTTCTAGTCGACTTGTTTTTGTTTTTCATACGAGGCTGAATTTACTGAGTAACATATCATGACTGGTAACGATAACCCAGCGAAGTCCTTCAATTTCACCGTCGGATATAAAGACGATGTGCTGCCTTTAGAAATGACCATGTCGATCATATCAATCACACAGAGCTGAAGTCATAGACAGTACAGACTATTCTATTTCACCGTCGGATATAAACACGATGTGCTGCCTTTAGAAATGACTATATCAATCACCCAGAGCTTAAATCATAGACAGTACAGACTATTCTATTTCACCGTCGGATATAAAGACGATGTGCTGCCTTTAGAAATGACTATGTCGATCATTTCAACCACCCAGAGCTGAAGTCATAGACAGTACAGACTATTCTGTTTCAGACGATTTCCTCGACCTATACGTACAACACGACCAAGAGTGACGGCTTCAATAAGAGGAACGATTTTGATTTTCCCATCGCGAAGTTTCCCTTTCTCTCCTTGATAATAATATCATGGTTTCATCATCCTACTGTGTTTACATGTCGTAGTTGATGAAGTGTGAAAGAGCTTGCTCCGAATATCATAACTACCGTGATAGATGTCGACTGCTGACGGACAAACTCACATCACAGAATTTCCAAAGGCGCAGGTTAATCGACGACGTAAATCTGGATCAAATTAGCAGCAGACGCTTACCCTCCGGGACACGAGGTCTTGTTCTAGTATTTTATTTTAAAAGAGTCTCCGTGTTAATATTTTCCTTTGTTCGTATTTTGCCCTGGTTCTTTGGTTTTGTCGACACTTAGGTATTCTGTTATTAAACTTATACTTATCTTAGAAAAACGTGTGTACATGTTCGCCATCAAGTTTTCTCACTTCAGCATAAATATGTATCAGAAACTCATCCCAATGCGTGGCTGTGTTTCATCTACCTCGGTTTGTTAGTAAATCCTGGAACTCATTTCCTGAAAACGACGAGAGTCACTGTTGTAACCTCCAACACTGAAGACGGCTTTTGAGAACCAGCCGGATATTTAAAACATCACCAAATCGTAGACGGCTGAATAAGTACATGGCACAATTCATGATGTTGAGGCTCTTTCGAACCAGTCAGACCGTGTGGTCGTTAAACTTATAACCAGACCTTCTTTCCATAACGTCCAGAATTTGGTCATTTGATAAAATTAATGATTTTATATTCTGCCATGGTAATTTCGTGTTATCGAGTTTCCTCTGGCCCTTACACCAGACTTAGACGTTTTGACATATAGATGTCTGGTGTTGACCCACATCAGACATCTATATGTCTGGTGTTAGGGCCAAAGGAAACTCGGGCTAGGATTTCTATTTCCAGGACATTTCCTTTCAAACGATCGACGATCAACTTTCTATTTGACGGCTGTGTTAGACTGCAACACCCTGAAACTACGTAACACGAATGTGCGGTAATTTCACTATCACACGTGCTTGTGATGCAACCAACACCAATACATGTTATTTTAACAAAAAAAATAACTTAAATTAATATCGTTTTCAATCGCTATAATGATTCATGAACAAGTGTTGTGTTATATAGATATTTAAAAAAAAAACTTGACAATAAAAGTATAATTTATGGAATTGTGATGCATATATTTTTTCTTGTTTAAATATAACCGAATATATAGGGAATATCAACTCACGACCAGCCCTCTTATTACCGCGAATTACCGAGAAAGTTTAAAATACTGAACTACTGGTATTGGCAACAAATTACAATATTTTCACAATTCTTTAGAATAATATTAATTTCGTTTCAAATCTCCAAAACTTTTAATGCAGGTGCGATAATGTGATGTATACATATCTTTGTTTTCCCGTAGTTAAGATTTGTTTTAAATCATACAGAAGAAAATAAAACAAGTGGGGTCGATCAAACTGCAGTAAGAAATATTTAATAAAGATAAATAAAAATTGTGAACATTTTGTGTATACAACAGTGGTCAGGGTTCATGATAATATAGAAACAAAATCTTACATAAATTCTTTCAATTCTTACCTTACTAAGCTAGTTGCCTTCTCAAGGTCAATTTGTCTTCACAAGTATATATACGTACTTATTTACCATCCAACGATTTTTGCAAAACCCATTTAAAACTTAAAGATGTCGGATACATGTTGAATGCCGTATACAAAATATCTTAACATACATTGAATGCTGGAAGAAAACTAACAAAGAATAGAGTTAAGTTAAATGTACAAAAACATTTGAAATTCATAATAATATCATAAACTGGACATTCAACAGAGTAAGTAAAGCACGATCATGATGACCAACATTTGCATGACGATCAGATAACTGTTTCTATAACCCTGAAACAAAGCACTGACTTTTCAACAACTCTCTTTTCACAAGCTCGTTTTTCGCCTTTTCATTTCAACATACAAGTACTGTAAAAATACAAAATCCGCATACTTCCCAAATCTCCCTATTTAAGAGGGACACTAAAATTGAGCATTTTCAACCAGTGAATTTCCTAAACTATTCCTTTTTTCTAAGTTTTGATGATTTCATCTTAAAGAACAGCTCAAAAGATGTCCTTTACAAGTGTTATTTCCCCCTAGGGTGTACATACACACATAGTTTTTATTTATGCTTTTAATTCTGAGCACGTGCAATCTCCCCCATGGAAATTTTAAAAAGTTGGCAAGTATGAATCCGTTTAAATGTATTTGGTTCAAATATAAGAATTACATAGCGGTTTTAAGGCTACAACACTTTAACGCTGAGGTAGACATTAAATGGAGAAGACAATAGTCAGAATCAATCAATAACCACGTTCAGATTATGACCTCACAATTGTTATGATATCCTGATATTCAGACCAGGCAGGGATACAGTGTGTTCTTATACATAACTCTGATTGTTAGTATAAACACAATACAAATGCTCAGAATAAAGGTATATTGTAAACAGATGAAGCACTTAATAAGCTCTAACTACACTGCATAATTTTAAGAACAAATAAATAGAAATATATACATGTTAATAAATCACAACACATATACAATGTATAACGTACAATGTAATATGATAAAGAATTATAATGTGTACTGTACAAGCAGATACTTATATTAATACCATATTTGGTAAGTTTCCACATTTGACCAATTTTATCGATCTGTCCTAAAAAAAGGTAAATAGATTATCTGGAGTTAAAGGAAAGACAATGTTTTACAATCTTCTGAGGGTTGAACTTGGGATCAATCCACTATAAATCCTATACTTTTATAATCTTCTGAGGGTTGAACTTGGGATCAATCCACTATACATCCTAAACTTTTACAATCTTCTGAGGGTTGAACTTGGGATCAATCCACTATAAATCCCAAACTTTGAACTTGGAATCAATCCACTTTAAATCCTATACTTTTACAATCTTCTGTGGGTTGAACTTAGGATCAATCCACTTTAAATCCTATACTTTTACAATCTTCTGAGGGTTGAACTTGGGATCAATCCACTATACATCCTAAACTTTTACAATCTTCTGTGGGTTGAACTTGGGATCAATCCACTTTAAATCATATACTTTTACAATCTTCTGAGGGTTGAACTGGGGATCAATCCACTATACATCCTAAACTTTTACAATCTTCTGTGGGTTGAACTTGGGATCAATCCACTTTAAATCCTACACTTTTACAATCTTCTGAGGGTTGAACTTGGGATCAATCCACTATAAATCCTATACTTTTACAATCTTCTGTGGGTTGAACTTGGGATCAATCCACTATAAATTCTATACTTTTACAATCTTCTGGGGGTTGAACTTGGGATCAATCCACTATAAATCCCATACTTTGAACTTGGGATCAATCCACTTTAAATCCTATACTTTTACAATCTTCTGGGGTTGAACTTGGGATCAGTCCACTATAAATCCTATACTTTTACAATCTTCTGGGGGTTGAACTTGGGATCAATCCACTATAAGTCCTATACTTTGAACTTGGGATCAATCCACTAAAAATCCTATACTTTGAACTTGGGATCAATCCACTATACATCCTATACTTTTACAATCTTCTGTGGGTTGAACTTGGGATCAATCCACTATAAATCCCATATTTGAACTTGGGATCAATCCACTATACATCCTATACTTTTACAATCCTCTGTGGGTTGAACTTGGTATCAATCCACTATAAATACTATACTTTGAACTTTGGATCAATCCACTTTAAACCCTATATGTTGAACGTGCAATCAATCCACTATACTTCCTCTACTTTTACAATCTTCTGGGGTTGAACTTGGGATCCATCCACTCTAAATCCTATATTTTGAACTTGGGATCAACCCACTATAAATCCCATATTTGAACTTGGGACCAAGCCACTAAAAATCCTATACTTTGAACTTTGGATCAATCCACTTTAAACCCTATATGTTGAACGTGCAATCAATCCACTATACTTCCTCTACTTTTACAATCTTCTTTGGGTTGAACTGGGGATCAATCCACTATACATCCGCTACTTTTAAAATCTTCTGTGGGTTGAACTTGGGATCAATCCACTATAAATCCTATACTTTTACAATCTTCTGGAGGTTGAACTTGGGATCAATCCACTATAAATCCTATACTTTTACATTTTTTTTTATTAAAGAATCATCTGTGCACTTTATTATAATGAAATTGATCTTTAAGTCAGAAAAACTCCTTTTTTCATGCATTTTCTTCTCTATATAGGAGGAACACCCAAGTGAAAAATTAACAGATCTGAAGTGGAAATCTTTATAACAACTGCAGTGGTACTCTTCGCCAATCTCAGTTATAACTTTGTATACCCCTCTGAAAATCTGGACAATTTGTGACACTGTTTACATCAAAGTTGATTGAACATTGTTCATACCTGTATACATGGCAGATATGTTTGTACGAAAATAAGATTATCTTACAATTATCACATTGATAAAATTTAAATAACACGTAAGATCCTCTGTTTAGTGTAATAACCTTATCCCATTATAAGCTGTAAGTTCCCTGCCCAATGTCTTTATCCTGATTACATACACCTCATTTATGCTACAAAAATATCTCACTTTGATGATAAAATCTGAACAATTAATATATGAGAGAAGATATGAAACATATTTCTGATGACAATAAACTTTTCCATGAAGTCACAATTTGTATAAGTTTTCATTGAGCATTCCTCTACTATACAAGTTTCTCATGGTGAAATATGGCAATACAAGTTAACGCACATCAAAAATCGTTTCTTAGTACAGCAACATGCAGTTGTGTTTAATAAAAAAATTATGCTTGACAGAATACCCTATAATCAAAAATAATATACACAGGAAAATGTTAAGATCAATTTGACAAGAAAAAAAATCCTAACCTGAAATTGACCTGAATTGATGTAAAATTGATTTTTATATACATTGTATACAACATTTATATCACAATTTACCAAGGATAAATATGATATCCAAAGTGAAGGAAGGCAAAGAGGCACACGTAGCATCTTCAATCATAATAATTTTCTAGCAATCTTTGTATATGCGATAACCCAAATTGGCAGTGTTATGCCATTGCTCACATACCTGTTGAATCTTGTTACAGTATATTAAAACAACCAATTTTCAGACCATGAAGTATAAGGTTCTGTATTGTACATGTGCAATACGGAATGTTGTATTTACCTACTAGTCAGAACTACTTTTAATGGGAATCCCATGGCGAACTGAAAAGTTCCCGGTATTTGCAAAAAATATCAAAGTTTATAAAATCTTTGTATCGACCTCTACCAAATACGGAAGGTATGTGATAAAAGCAAGACCACACACTTGTGTTTTTCTAACAAATCAGAAAGCACTCATTTGCGCGGATGTATATATTCACTCATGTGCGGAGCACTCATGAATATATTTGTCTGCCCAATAAACTCATGCTTTCTGATTTGTTAGAAAAGTGTGTGGTCTCGCATATATATTCGTTGCAATTATGCAAACTTGACAGGTCAGCAGTACTCTGTTTTTCAATAATAGAGATGGATCTGAGTCATAACACAAAAGTGGCAGTAAATATGTTGAGAATCTACATAAAGGTGTTTAATACTGAAGCTAAAACATAAACAGACATATCTTTGAAAGTCATTCAGAGAACTGTATGATAGACAAGGAACATTACATACCCACAGAACTTAAACATTGTACAAATAGCTCTGTTAATGTCACACAAAGTAGTAGTAAGGTAAATAAGAAACGATAGTTACATAAATGAGGCTTCTAGAGTGATAACAACTACTGATGGAAGAAGGACAGGCAAATGACTTAATAAGTTAATAGCAGGGTATAATTGCACTGTTAAAGCCACACAGACATCAGTAGAATGGATAGGCAAATGAATTAATAACTGTTAAAGCCACACAAACATCAGTAGACTAGGTATATTTCATCAGATGCCAATATTCGTGACTTTTTTGCCCCTGGATCTCTACATGATTACAATCCCATCTATATTGTACATGTAGCTAGGGCCTTTGGTCTAATTTCCTTCTTGTTAATTATGAGATGTTCGTTACATAGGATATGGTGGTGCAGCAGCGCCTCCTGGTGGCGGGGGGCGAGATGGCGCATTTTGTTGTGGTCCTCCCTGAGGGTAGGCTGGAGCAGGGCCTTGTGGGTAGGGAGATGTTCCTTGGTTAGGCATTCCTGTTGACAAAGTTTGTAAAAGTATGTTTTAACATTATTCGACAAGTAAATAGAGAATTTGAAACACTACTTCAACACTTAGATTGATTCTCCTCGTGTTGGTTTCATTTAGAGACAAAAAATAGGAAATATCTACCAAGGAAGTTAACTGTGCTGCATGACAGTAGTATGTTAGCACTTCATATTCATACTCAAGTAAAAATTAAAAAAAACAACACATTCAATCCTCAAGAAGTGCTACCCCATAATACTGCCAGACCTTTTATTCTGCATCATTATAAAACAAGCCATTCAGATTGATATGTTTCGCCTGTGCCCCACTTTGACCATCAATGCAGATGTCTAGTTTGGTTGGTCTAGCACTTAGAGTTTCAGAGAAACTAACTTATAATGCAAACACTTGATGTTGATGGAGATGCTGACAAAGTCAATGGACCATGAAAGGTAGGCCGCATCCAGCATTTGATGCATGGGTTGAGATGTATTACCTAAGATGCATCTATGGTCCAAGTTTGGTTGGTTTAGCACTTACACTTTCAGTAAAACTAACTTAAACCCAAAAACTTTATGTTGACGCCGCCGTCGCCGGAAAAGCAAACACCTTAGTGTCTCTTCTGCTACTTCATGGTGGCAAGACAAAAAATTGATTCTATGAAAGAGATAGCACTTATTATACAAAAGGTCTGTCTTGGAAAATTACCCCTTATGTCAATAAACGGTGTTCTCACAATCCAAGTTACCTTTGCCAACGGGTTATTTTTAATTCTACTTCTAATTACAAAGTTCAGGATAGGTAAATCAGGTAAAAACACACTGTCTCTTAAATAGATTGGTCTTTTTGACACATACTTTCCTAACTGTACATGTGCCTGACACTGTTTGAGATCATCTCGATACATATTAAGTTTTAAGTCATTATTCTCACAAACGTTTGTATAATGAATATCTTTTTAGTTTGGAGCTGCAAATATTCTACTCTGCAAGTGTTGTCAATGCCCTTGGAATAACCCTATCTGAAAAACAGCCCATGTGGATACCTTGTTGCGGGGGCATGTTAGGAGCACCCCCTTGTGGTGGAGGTATTGATGGTGCCCCCTGGCCTGGCATCCTGACATTCTCCTGGGGTGGTTTGGGTTTGATATTGTTGGCCTTCATGTACTGGAGGAACTGGTCAGGAATCTCTGCAAGGACTTCCTTAGCCAGGGCTGCCTGGGATACCTGCATGTTGTTGCCAAATTTACCCCCCAGGAAGTCACGGAATGGAACAAACTGAAACAGAGGAAATGAATAATGTCCAGCCCTAAGAAATGATTACAAAACATATTATTAGCCAATAGTCTATATAAATCATAATTAGTCATTTTTGACTGTTTCTGGCTTTTTGTCCAATTTTGGCTGTAGGAGTGAAACAGTCAAAACTGTTTTCCCGGTCAGAGCGAACTGTTACCCGGGCGCTAATTCAATGCGCAGAAATCCCCCCTCGAGAGCCCCGTTCAAGCGTTTATTTGACCTCAGCATTGATACTAAATATGTCTTCGGTAATATACTGTGTTTTATGGCTATTTGGGAAACAGTCAAAACTATCATCCCGAGGTAGGGGGAAGCCTTGGGGAACTGTTTGCCTGAGGCTGCTAGGCCTTGGCTAACAGTTCCACAGGGCTTCCCCTACCGAAATACTGTGAATATTTGGAATTATGTTATGAATAGAAATAAAAAAGTATATATTTTTAAATGATTTAACATGAGATTTTTTTTTGCAATATTTCTGAAAGATTTGGACATTGAATACCAGTTTTGAACTAAATTCCTGTTAAATTTAATGCTCAAAGATGGGTCAAAACACGAATCAGATCATCACCCCCATTCTCAACAGTTTTGCGGGTGATAATGATCATTTTTATAGAGTTAGCTCCCTTTCATACACTGACAGGGAAAATATACATAAAAGTCTTTTCTTGACTTAATTCTTGGATTATTAAGATAATCTGCATCAGTGATTGGTTTGTAAGATGTTTATTTCCTAATCATGACATTTATGCAAGGTCTGCTATCAATCATTTCCCCTATTAAAATCCTTGTGAGAAAGTACATTCCGTAACACAAAAACAGATTTACAGCAATACACAAGGTTGAGTATACCTGAACTATATCTCTGACTGCCTGTTTACCGCGGCTGGACAGCTTCTGGTTGTCTGCATCTAACACATCCATAGCTGAAATGACCATAATGACCAGGAGAATATTAATTGTATGTCAAGTGAAGTACCACTCTTACACAATTTATTTTCATTGTTTAAAACTTGACTCTTCTTTCTTGAATCACAACATTAGCACTAGTAAATATCATCAGTTCAATAACACTATTTCCTACAAAAAGAGGCACTGTAAATAATACAAATCCCCCAACCTTCACAACAGTTTGATAGAATTATGCCTTGCATGAAGTTGCATAAAGCAACATAAATGTATCACCCAAAAAAACCTCATTCACTGATACAATTAATAAATTGCATAAAATCTTCATATTTTCAAATTCACATTTGAAGAGTTAAGGATTAGAGGCAGACAAATATTTTTATAAATAGTAATTGTAACCTTGGCACCAGGAAAATCAACTGTATCTTCTAAATAATTTCATACTCGATTATCTTATTATTTATGATCAAATCGATTATCAAATGTAGTTGATAGAGTAATGACAAAAAGGGGTAACCATGATCTTGACCTTTGACCTTTGACATTGAAATTCAATATAATTCATCCTCTTCCCACGAGATAAACAGCCTCTGTAATATTGTGTCTACAAGGTGAACACCTACAAGAAATCATCATTTTCACCCAGGACATTGACCTTAAACCTTTGATTTTGACCTTTAATACATTTCATACTTTAAACATGTTGGCAAATCATTGCAGTAAGTTTGATTGCATAAACAGACTTTGATTTAGTTTATGTACCAGGTTGAAGCCTGTAAAAACGGACACAACTTTTACCACTGGTATATCCCCATGTATGTCTGTTGTAAGGGAATAATGAATAGCTATGCTAAACATATCAGTTACCATACTTTCAGTTTAACTCATTCACCCCTGAAGACACATTTGAACTCTTCCAATTCAAAGGTTGGAATAGTCCATTGTAAACTTTCAAGGGTGAATGAGTTGTACTAAACAGAATTCCATTAAAGAACAAAAGTATTTCTTCTGTCATTAAATCTAGACTTTTTCTGATGAAAGTGTTCAAAAAATGTTGTATTCTGAAAACTTCACCATGATAACCATGATAACCAACATGATATTAATATAGTAATTCTGGGTAAGGGCCATGCCTTGTCATTCCTAGGTATTTACGACATGTAATGTTGTCCTCATAACGTACCGTCAAACTCGGCATTCCCTACTCCTACAATGATGATGGACAATGGTAGGCCAGATGACTGAAAAAACCCAGAAAAAAGTAAGTTTATTCCACAAATATTTAAGTAATATTTACAATAAAGACAGATCAAGCATGAAACTTTAATTCAAATAAATTTAAAAAATATGATAAAGATATCCACGATGAGAAATAAACTTTTTGTTCAAAAAACACGTATAAAATCTTCAAATGTAAAATCTACAAGGTTGTGCTGACTTACATGTACAATTGCCTCTATAGTGTTGGGTAAATCTGTAATCACCCCGTCCGTAAGAATCAGCAATACAAAGTAATTATTTCCATCTCTCATCGACGTCGCAAATCTGAAAGAAACAAACATTCAGGAATTATTGATAACTACAAAATATATTTCATATAAATGTAATTGTCATATAATAGTACAAGGGGAATTTTAGAAAAAAAATAATCAAACAAAGTAACATTTCTATGAGAAGTGAGTGAATCACTAGATAAATAACGACAAGGACTGTCACTCTTATTTAATTCTTTGTTACAGAATCAAGTACCGTCATATCTGTATGAATAAACCACCTTCTAGAATTCCAAAGAGTGGTCTCTTAGCACAGGTGGTCTCTTAACGAAGGGGTTGCTTAAGCAGGTCTGATTTTAGTTATCCAGCGCTCAAAGTGATTTTTTAATATAAAACAGGCATTCTTCTGAAGGGCCACCAAAACAGAAACAAGGTTCAGCACGAAATGAAAATGTTCAGAGCCTAATTGTATTGCCTCGGTCTCTATAAATGTGTTAGTGTATTAAAGTAACAGTAATCTTTACAATCTGGATTTTTTTCCATTTGCCATTGAGATAACTACTGTTTGCTTATAGGAATAACTGGTTGCCATGGTTACTTAAATTGGCATCACCTTGAGCCCTGTTAGAATAAAGTGAATGAATTTTCTTCAGAATTAAACATTCTCAAGGCCACTAATTCTAAGTTTAATTGGCTTCCAATGAAAACACGTTTTGGAGAATTATATAAACGCAATCTTTCTGAACAGTTGCCCTTCTCTAAAACTGGTTAGTATTTCTTTCAAACTGGTCTTGTTACACTAAAGTCGATGGATAAACTGTTCTTTCATCACAATGAATGGTATCTTTAGCTGGTCTTTGTTAGATTTCCACCCCACTTGTACTGGTTTCTTGTTAGAACATTTCATTAAGCTGGGCCCTCACTATTGATTTTATGTTTACAGTTACTTTGCTACATGTTATAAAGTTGGAGTGAAGTTTGTGTGACTTGTACAACTATTACCCCTAACTGTGGGGAACAATATTCTGTGTTCCTCAAGATTAATTTTGTTTCAGGAGGATGGATTAATCTCAGAGAAACAAAGAACCCTGATTTCCTACTGCAAGGGCACTAAATATTAGATTATACTGAAAAACAACAACAAATAAAGATCAATAACGCAATAGTAGAGATGATCAGGTTGACGCGCCATTGTTGTCGTCTGTTTCTGTCGTTTGGAACTAGATTTTGGTGGTTCTTGGCGACTTTTCTAGAGAGGCTCCCAATAAGGGAAATATGATCAAGGAAACTTGAGCGCATGAGAGCGACATGATGTTTTATTGCCCCTGTGATGTGAACAGTATCGTCCAATCAGACACACTGTTTTAAAGATGAGGAATAATAAGAGTTATGTACTTTGCTACATGTTGTATGACTGGAGCGAAGTTTGTTGGTCCATAAAGCTGTACTTGCTGTAAGGCCCCGTAGTACGCCTGCATTACACCTTGTATACCAGCACAGTATGGGTTGGCTGAATTGAAGTTCTGAAATTACAAAACATCCAATTATGTTTATTTTATCATATTACAATAGCCATTATGTTGTTATAATTATGGCAAGTTAAAACATATCATCTTTCAAAACCACTCAAAAGGACCCATCAAAGTTTGAGTAAAAATTGAAAGCTGAATTTCTCCTGGACTGAATCTTTCATAAATTTCATGACAAGGCCACTAGATTTCCTTGATGCTTCAATTAATGCCAAATTGTTTGAATACACAGCATTTCGATTCGATCAAAATTCTTCACCATTTTCCCCTTACAAAATATCTTGTCAAACCCCTCTAAACTGCCAAAAAAACCTGCTGACATAAAGGGACAGTGACATTACTTTTCAGTATAACTCTTCTGTGTATGCTGTGTATGACTTTTCTGTAGAACTCTTCTGTGTATGCTGTGTATGACTTTTCTGTAGAACTCCGTTGTGTTTGTTGTGTATGACTTTTCTGTAGAACTCTTTTGTGTTTGTTTTGTATGACTTTTCTGTAGAACTCTTTTGTGTTTGTTGTATATGATATTTCTGTAGAACTCTTTTGTGTTTGTTGTGTATGACTTTTCTGTAGAACTCTTTTGTGTTTGTTGTGTATGACTTTTCTGTAGAACTCTTTTGTGCTTGTTGTGTATGACTTTTCTGTAGAACTCTTTTGTGTTTCTAGTCTTCAGTTGTTGACTATGAATTTCTATGCATTTTAAGTTATCTGTGACTTGAAAACAACTTTAACTCATTAGTACAATTTTGTGTTACATAAAATGAAAACAATTTAGTAATTACTTATAAAAATTGTAGGACACAGGAACATCTATATTTCTTGATGTTCATTCTTGTTTACTTACTACAGGAAACTCGTGTGATATTGATCCATCTGGAAGCTTGGCTCCAAATCCCAGTACAGGAAACAACTTATCACTGAAAGAAGAGGGAGAAAATCATTGATTAACATCAGATAATGTATATTAAAAATAATAAGCATTCACTTGAACATCATTTTGATATTTTTTCTTTACTACTGCATGTATATAACATGTATGGCAGCCCCGTACTGGTAGGGTAGTAGAGATTGTTTTTACCTGTCGTAATCCTGTATGATCTCCCCCACAGCCAGTATAGCCGCCCCATACTGGTAGGGTAGTAGAGATAGTTGTTACCTGTCGTAATCCTGTATGATCTCCCCCACAGCCAGTATAGCCGCCCCATACTGGTAGGGTAGTAGAGATAGTTGTTACCTGTCGTAATCCTGTATGATCTCCCTCAAAGCCTGTATGGCCGCCCGTACTGGTAGGGTAGTGAAATAGTTGTTACCTATCGTAATCCTGTATGATCTCCCCCACAGCCTGTATGGCCGCTCCGTACTGGTAGGGTAGTATGGCCGCCCCGTACTGGTAGGGTAGTAAGATAGTTGTTACCTGTCGTAATCCTGTATGATCTCCCCCACAGCCTGTACGGCGGCCCCGTACGTGTAGGGTAGTAAGATAGTTGTTACCTGTCGTAATCCTGTATGATCTCCCCCCCTGCCTGTATGGCGGCCCCGTACTGGTAGGGTAGTAAGATAGTTGTTACCTGTCGTAATCCTGTATGATCTCCCCCACAGCCTGTATGGCGGCCCCGTACTGGTAGGGTAGTAAGAAAGTTGTTACCTGTTGTAATCCTGTATGATCTCCCCCACAGCCTGTATGGCCGCCCGGTACTGGTAGGGTAGTAAGATAGTTGTTACCTGTCGTAAACCTGTATGATCTCTCCCACAGCCTGTATAGCCGCCCCGTACTGGTTGGGTAGTAGAGATAGCTTTAACCTGTCGTTATCCTGTATGATCTCCCCCACAGCCAGTATGGCCGCCTCGTACTGGTAGGGTAGTAAGATAGTTGTTACCTGTCGTTATCCTGTATGATCTCCCCCACAGCCTGTATAGCCGCCCCGTACTGGTTGGGAAGTAGAGATAGTTTTTACCTGTCGTTATCCTGTATGATCTCCCCCACAGCCTGTATGGCCGCCCCGTACTGGTAGGGTAGTAAGATAGTTGTTACCTGTCGCAATCCTGTATGATCTCCCCAACAGCCTGTATGGCCGCCCCGTACTGGTAGGGTAGTAGAGATAGTTTTTACCTGTCGTAATCCTAAATGATCTCCCCCACAGCCTGTATAGCCGCCCCGTACTGGTAGGGTAGTAGAGATAGTTTTTACCTGTCGTAATCCTGTATGATCTCCCCCACAGCCTGTATGGCCGCCCCGTACTGGTAGGGTAGTAGAGATAGTTTTTACCTGTCGTAATCCTGTATGATCTCCCCCACAGCCTGTATGGCGGACCCGTACTGGTTGGGTTGGTAGGGGCTATTGTAATGGAGTGAAGTGGGGCTCGAAGGGTTACCATTGGATGCTGTGAAATCTATAGCTACAGTGAAGTTAAGTTGTGTTCTGAAATATAAAAGTCAAATACGATTTACCACCACAAATATTTTTGATAATACATTTCTGAAATTTGTATATGTCAACAAAAATATACCTAAAAAAGAGCTAGTTTCAAGTGCCCATTAGCATACAGTTCATCACGGTGACGAAACACATCCACTCAAGATTACGATTTGTAACATAGAGTACTGAGTAGCACAGAAGTCGAAACACTGAAATGAATAATTTTGGTACTGTAACAGCGGGATTATTAGCCCTGTGTTTAGTGTGATAATACTTACCCCCCTTTAACAAAATCCAAGAATGACGGGTTGATTTCTATCTTACAATTCATCACTGTTACCTGTCAAAATAAAAACAGGAACAATAAGTTAATTATAATTACTTAACAATAAGTGTGTTAACTATTGTAACCACAAAGGTCTCCTATTTCATTCATTTGCAAGATCAAACACAGAAGTTCAACAATAAATTCAAGAGGAACATAAGGCCTGTACCACTCACATGATTATAAAATAAAATTAGATAAAGAAATGAAAATTTAATTAGTTACCTGTCCTGAATTTTTGTAGTTTTTCTTTTTTGCTTTCTTTTTAGGATTGATAACCTGAAATAAAAAAATATGTAACTAATAACTTGATATGGGTAAAGTAAAGATAATCTATTATCTAGGCAGGTCACTGTCACAATGAAACAAGAAACAAAATTCTCCTCACCATGGTGTTGAGTACAAACAGTTATGAGAGAACGTTACTTATCAGACGACTTTCCAGTGTCTATATGTAGGAGTCCCAGCCCCCTGTTTTGTATCTTCAGTGGAGAAGACTTTCCAGTGTCTATATGTAGGAGTCCCAGCACCCTGTTTTGTATCTTCAGTGGAGAAGACTTTCAACTAGTTTGGCATTATTGATTGCCCATTCACTATCGTAAAGATTATTTTCACAAACGAAATACTTTCATTATGATTTCCTTTTTTTCACAAAAACATTTCTGTTATGGGGATTCAATCCCTTTAACTTTTGATTAAAACGCTTCAATTTAAAAAGAAAATCAATTGCAACTTTACTTTTCTTTAAAATATTAGCTTTTGAAAAAATAAATTCTTCTTGAGTTAGTTAAGTTTGTAGACTAGAACTTCAACTGAATACCAGCAAAAGACATGTATCATTTATGAAATTTATAAAATTCGGTACAAACATTTTGAATGTGGATAATGATACTGTATTCAGTTTCTGGAGATATATATAGCTGAAGAAAAATAAAAACCTATCCTACATGATTTCAAATTTAAGACTATCCCATGCAATACCTGTACTATGGGAGTATCTAAGTTATGTACAAGCAATCTACATATAGGTAACAGCTGGAACAAATGGCTCATTAGGTTGTATAACTAATGTTTCAAAGATATTTTCCAACAGATGACCAGGTATTTGAATTCATCAAATTGTAATGCACTTTGTGAAATCACAAGGAGAAATTTACTGAAGAAAAGTAATTTAGACTACAGCAGAAATGGTGACAATTTCTGCTACTTTTTTCATCTATTTTCTTTTGACAAAATGGGTTGAACTTCATGGGATTTTGTGTCGAAGGAACTGAAAAAAATCTCAAAATTGTACCGTTTCTATGGGCATGAATACAAATTAATACTTGTGAAAAATTGCTGAAGCTCATGTCATAAAAATCTTAAGAAATGTGAATTCAATCAAGATCTTCTGACGTATTATCTGTATACCTTACTTTTTTTTTTTAAATCTGTGGAAACCATCTTTGAACATCAAGTTATATACTGCTAGGATTCTATGTAACATGCAGCTCTGGGTATTATAAGCAAAATAAAAATATGGGTTTATCTTCACTTCTGAAAGAATTAAACCAGCTTGTGTACCATATTACAGTACGTCAAAATACATTTAATTATTTAATATATGTGAGTCAGTCAGGAGAGTCGAGGAAACTTAATTAACATAACTACTCAACCAGGCCCTGTACAAGTCCAGAAACTGAGAATCAATTTTGTTTGAACATTTTCTTAAGTCTGACTTAGAAAGTAGGAAGATCAGTTTGTTAACACCTATTAGGGGCACCCCATTTAATTATAACGTAGATATTCTTATAACAATTTATTATTATTTTCATTTTTCTTTTTTTATCAATTTCATTTTTCAATATATTGTCTATTCACCTTACACAAGAAAGTGTTCATTTACCGATATACAAGTTGTTAAGTTACATATATACAAGTTGTTCAGTCACAGAGATACAAGCTGTTCAGTCACAGATATACAAGTTGTTCTATCACATACAAGTTGTTCTATCACATACAAGTTGTTCTATCACTTCCATAACCAAACATGCAAGCCAGTGCAATAAATATCATGCCATATATAAGCCCCTGTCAGTTGTGAAGGCCGACATATTCTTGTGGTTTAAATAAAACAAAAAAACCCTGTGGGATTAAGAATGAAAATAATCACTTCCCAAGACTCATTAATGACAGAGTAGGATATCAACAGTAACAAGAAGACGCTGTGATCGATATCCCCCGCTCACAGTGCAAACATACAGCATAAAATATAGATGAGAGTTATTCTTCTTAACCTTATATGAAGATAGGAGCAATTCTTTTTAAACAAGTCAATGAAGTGTAAAATATAGGTCAAAATCAGCATCTGCAATATGCATTCAGTAAAGCAACCCTAGATACACAATTAATGTAAGTATTATCAACATAGCACTTGTAGGAGGCAAGATATAGATGAGAGCAATTCTTTTTAACCAAGTGCATGGACGGATGGACCCCATTTCTATATCCCCCGCCAACTCGTTGAGTGGGGGATAACTAAATAGCATTTTTGTGTGCAAATTTGCGATATTGATTCCAATAAATGTAGATACTTGTTGTATCATCATTTGAGTTAACTGGCCATTTTTAAGAATCAAAATGCTTTTATTTGTCAATCAGAGTCATGAATCAGAATTGATATTGTCAATTTTTAAAACATGCATAGCTAGCACACAAATACCAAATAAAAACAAAAGTAATTTTTAATAACTTGGAAATATTTAATCAATAATGAAAACAGGGTTTAAAAAAATGATTTTTTTTTTTTATAAAAATGAACTATATCCTAAAAAGTATCTGCATACAAATGCCAATAAAACTAGAATTTTGTTTTTGTGAACAAAAACATGTCTCCTCTTATTAGCCAATAGAAAAACTCTGGTATAAAAAATTAACAAAGGGCCATATCGCTTTATATAGTGGGGCACGAGACCTGAATTTAGAATTTGACACTCCTACTTACCAAGATACATTAAAACTTTAGCAAGTTTGGTCAACGTAGGTGAAACTAGCACACTGACAGGTCAGTAAGGGCCCCGTCTTGTGGCAGTATATCCCCCATAATCATCAAGACAAACTAGAACACTGACAGGTCAGTAAGGGCCCCGTCTTGTGGCAATATATCCCCCATAATCATCAAGACAAACTAGAACACTGACAGGTCAGTAAGGGCCCCGTCTTGTGGCAATATATCCCCCATAATCATCAAGACAAACTAGAACACTGACAGGTCAGTAAGGGCCCCGTCTTGTGGCAATATATCCCCCATAATCATCAAGACAAACTAGAACACTGACAGGTCAGTAAGGGCCCCGTCTTGTGGCAATATATCCCCCATAATCATCAAGACAAACTAGAACACTGACAGGTCAGTAAGGGCCCCGTCTTGTGGCAATATATCCCCCATAATCATCAAGACAAACTAGAACACTGACAGGTCAGTAAGGGCCCCGTCTCGTGGCAATATATCCCCCATAATCATCAAGAAGCAATCTGCACATATAGCTGAGCTTGACGTTTGACATTTGGACTTCAAAAAAAAATTGCAAGGAAGCAAAATATACATTTTACATGTACTATGATGTGAGTCTTGTTTCCTTCCACCTCCATATTTGCTGGGCTAACAGAAATGTAAATTCCGGTGCAATACTCATTTGTAAGCTTTGATTTGTTTTATTTCACCTTAAATACCTCCCCCATCAAGAGCCAGGGTCAAAGTAAGAGATCCACTTTGTCTTTGACCTTTGGACCCAAATGACCTTGACCTTTAACCAAGTGACCCTGATCTTTGGTCAGTTGACTCATTCTTCAATTCTGACCAACTTTGCTTCATAAGCTATAAGGTAATAAACCATTTACAATTGACGGATAATTGAGCTACTCTTACCGCTTTCGTCAGTGTTCGTACCGAGGCTGAAATAAGGTTTATTTTTAAACACACGACAATGAAATGATAAAGGAATATCCTAGTTCGTAAAGATACACGAAATGTTTTCTTTATATTATTTGAAAACTGACCTCAACGTTCTGAACTATTCTGTAGCAATAGAAATAAATTTTACAAATGATGCGAAATAGACATTGTTGCTGTTAAACCATTGTGCCACTTTTTGCCAAGCCATCTTGTCACCTTCAGCGCGCTAGACTGCGGAGTACTAAACCGATGAAGGCAATAAAGAACATTTTACTTAATGGTCGCATGACAACCAACGTCACCGCCGGTCTTAGATTCATATTCAGATTCATTTATTCTCTCAATATAACCCTCACTGTCACTGTAGAATTTGCAGTAATGGCGAGATTACTGGCAAAATAAATATTTACTACAGTAGCATGAGCACCTCTGGTGTACAGTGCCCTCATATAAGTTTTATAGTCACAATTAGTGTAATATTCATAGATAAAACTCCTCAAATTGTCCACCAGTTATTGCTGCCATTTTGATTGCAACTGTATCATGTGTGACGTTCGCGTAGGTTCCTCGCCGTGGTATTGAGAAAGCATCGTAATTGCCAAAGCAATGTAGTCTCGATCTAGCCTTTCAGGTGTCATATTCAAAGACAACGCTTCAATCTACTTGTTTGTCTCTCAAAACGGTCTGGTCCTCTTCTGATTCATTCATTTTATGTTAATATATAAGCAGAAGTAATCTTTTAAATACCCTTTGACCTTGACCTTTGGAACCCGTAACCTTGACTTTTGGTCAGTTGACTCCGTGTTAAGTTTTGAACAACTTTGCTTCATAATAACATTCAAAAAATGTTCATCAGTAAAAAGATACAATATCTGACCTTGAAATTGACCAAGTGACCATGACCTTAAGTCAGTTGACTCCTTGTTAAATTCCGACCAACTTTGCTTCATAATGTCATAACAAAATGTTCATCAGTGAAAAGATACAAAATTTGACTTCGACCTTTGATTAAGTGACCTTGACCTTTGGTCAAATGACTCCTTGTTCAATACTGACCAACATTGCTACAAAGTGTCATTACAAAATGTTTATCAGGAAAATGATATAAAATTTGACCTTTGACCCAGTGACCTTGACCTTTGGTCAATTGACTCCTTGTTTAATTCCGACCAACTTTGCTTCAAAGTGTCATAACAAAATGTTCCCCAGTGAAAAGATACTGAATTTGACTTTAAACTTTGATCCAGTGACCTTGACCTTTGGTCAACTGACTCCTTGTTTAATTCCGACCAACTTTGCTCCAAAGTGTCATAACAAAATGTTCCCCAGTGAAAAGATACTGAATTTGACTTTAACCTTTGACCCAGTGACCTTGACCTTAAGTCAGTTGACTCTTTGTTAAATTTCAACCAACTTTGCTTCATAATGTCATAACAAAATGTTCATCAGGGAAAAGATACAAAATTTGACCATGACCTTTGACCTTGACCGTTGGTCAGTTGATACCTTGTTTGATTGTGATGGACGGACAGAATGAATTAGTATAGGACACCCGCATCTTCGATGCAGGCCCTTATAACATGGAAGTTATGCCATGGACAAACTTCGGTATTAAAATTAAACAAACGGCCATAACTCTGTATATAGCGACACACGAGACCTAATTCCAGTGCACTGCACACCTTCTGTGAATGATGCAGGTACATTTCAAGTTTGATTAAGATATCTTTACTGGTTTAGAAGTTATGCCGTGGACAAACTTCGGTATTAAAGATAAACAAAGGGCCATAACTCTGTATATAGTGGGGCATAAAATCTGATTTTAGTGTGAACAATTCCGCCTTCCTAAGATACATCAATATGATAAGTATTGTCAAAGTAGGTGAAATAACATAGAACTTATGCTCTGGACAAACTTTGGTATTAAAATTAAACAAAGGGCCATAACTCTGTATATAGTGGGGCACAAGACCTAGTTCTAATATTTTTAACAGTTTGAAAATTTTATGGGCCGGACAAGAATTTACTGAAAATGTGCACTTATTTGACCTTTGACCTTGATTCGAAGGGGAGACATGATAATGTGTCAAACAATGGTATCATTAGTGTTAAACTGGGGCATAATTAATTAACATGCATTATAATGTGTCATGCAGTACTTAAACTGTGACTTGAAAAACAAACTGGCAGATTACATTCCATAACAGAGGAAAACTATGATTATCTGATAAATGTGTAATACATACCTCTCTGGTAAACGGCTTTACAAACAACAAAATATCTCTTACTTTTCATAACTATTGTCTGTATTGTAAAATTAAACATGCAGATGATCAGCTGATCGGTCAAGTGTCAGATATGACTGAATAAGGTCACTTCCAGTCACATATCACTTAGATACTAAATAAACTGGAAACATTGAACAGCTCCATAAACAGAAATTTAACAACAAATTTCAAAAAGTAAGTTTGTTTAAGATCAGGGTGTGTATTCATGAAACCAGTGTCATGCTTCGACATGGATTCTGCACTAAAACTAACTTTCTTGTTACTCATGTAAATCATTTGACAAGGTCAAAAGTCAAATCTAGACATTGAATACGGTGTTCAGCTTTCTGTCTATCCAAATTCTTCCAAATCATTGACAAAATGTGAGTTAAGATTATTTTTTAACCGGAACAGGAAATGTGGCTTGAGCACAGAATCCGAGTTTGAGAATAAGAACGATTTTATGAATACATACTCAAATGTTTATGTTTTGACAGCTGTTGTGCTGTGTAAGTCCTGTCTTTACATTAATGTTAGAAAATTACCAGGCAAGTGTAATCTGTTCTTTAAAATTAAAACGGTCTGGAAAGTCTTTACCTTGATGTACAGATCATTTAGTCTTTGACCAATTATTCCAGTCAGAATGAAAATTTATTTTGTATCCTACACATATTAGTGTTTTTAGGAAGTAGTAAGTGTTTTTACCTGGTAGGTGCTGCCCGAACTTCCTCCCCTTGTTATCTCCCTCAGGTTGGTGGTGAACACACCTATCAAGTCATGGCTGCTATACAGGAACAAGGGATTTGTTACATTCAAAGCCAAATTTGCAGTCGTTGTGTCAAGAGATTTTTTTTTACCTTTAACTTAAAACTGCATTTTTAAAGAGCAAATTCTCATATAGTACATTTATTTACAATTTAAAAATTCAGGAAATATCAAAATTAACAAATTGAATGCTAACTGATTGAATATGTAAAGGTAGGTAAACAAATGTGTATATTAGGATCAAATTTCCTGGAAATTTTATTATAACGTCACATACCCTCCATCTCCATCCCAGTCATAACACTCCACTTTGATGGACCTGAACACACAATGATTAAAACTTAAACACTTATTAAGAAACTACTCCTTGACTGGAAACCTTGATAAAAATTAAGAATAACTACCAGGGCCCGGTTGTTCGAAACTATCTTTAAGCTAACGATGTCGTTAAATTTAATGAGTCGTTAACCGCTAATTCTGCGTTAGCTTAACGAAAGTTTTGAACAACCAGGCCCTGGGTAAACATAGCAGAAATTTGAGAATGAGTAAAATTTTGGTGATAATAAGGCAAGGAGGAAACAATGTTATCACATGATAGTTATACACAGAACAGTATGGAATATTAAGACATATCTAGCTGCATTAATTCACATTTACCGTCTCAATGTATGTGTACAGTAAACCTCCGGTCAGTTCAAATCGGTGGATAGTTCGAACACGTATTTTTTTCAATAATAACAATAATTTTCTAGCTAGTGTTAGTTCAAACTCTGATTGTTTATAATTGACCCTATCGTCCGAACTTGTCAAATGAAGAACATAAAGTAAGATTTTTTTTCTTCTTTAAGTCTTCTTATCTTAATACAGTGTACCAGTACTCTAGTGAATATGCAAATATTTTTACTTGTTTCCTACTTGTTTTTTTTTTTAAATTGGAGATTTTTTTGAGATGATTTAAAAAGCTGGTATATATGTCTGTTTCCTAACATCCAAGCGTTCCACCTGTTTGGCCCCTAACATCTCCAATGAGGCCTAGAAATACTAAACAACTATATGGTGTAGTGTTATTCATTTTTGGCAAATAGTATTGATTACAATGTACTAAATTTCATAGGTGCATTTGCCTGAGTACATGCGTTACTTTCATATTTCTGTCAAATCATTTAAAAAAACATTTTGTGACAAAACATGTCTCTTTTCTGAAACCTAAATGCTTATAATATTACAAAATCCATTAAACATAATATTCAGTTATCTCATTAAGTAAGTACACATACCGGGTATATACATTCACACAATATCAGATTATAGTAAATATTTCTGAGTAAGTCACATATAAATGTTTCAAGAAATGCAATTACATGTAAAGTAAAATAATGATATGGTAATTAATTTAAGTCCATCTGTTAAACACCCTGCACTGATAACAGTACCAGGTACTTCCTTACCGGTCATAGTCCCCATTGCAAAGTGCCCTTGCTGTGATTGTAAACGGCCGCCAGGTCGGATTGAGAGTATTTTTGATGACTTCTGTCTTGTGAACAGTTGTGTAGCTGAGAAATGAGAACAATAACCACTATTGAATATCAAATACTGAGAAACAAAAACAGCATTCACTTCGTACTTATTTCACAAAATAGTATATTATTAAATATTATTGTAATTATCTATGGTTTCATATAGATATATAAGGTCTGACCATATCAAATTCAAAATTTAAAAAAATTGAGCTAAAATCAGTTTGGGTAATGGTCGGCCAGTGTCCACAATGGTAATCAATATAACTGAATGACAGGCAGGAATGATTAGTTCTGATAATGTTGCTGAAGCTTGGGGTCACAGCCTCTAGTTGAGATAGGAAATGGTCTAGATAGGCCCCTTGTGAACCTTTATAAACAAAATTAAATATCTATACAACTTAAGCAATAAATACCTGTTGTCTTCATTTGCTCTGTAGAATATAAGAAAAGGATCAGACTTGCCGAGGAAATCTTTCTTATCAAGATGTGTTGCACAGAAATGCATTGTTACACTTTCCTGTGGAGAAACAAGACTGTCGTTATTCCTAATTCATCATCAAAACTACCACAAATCCAAATGAGAGGCAGGGGTGTCAGTGTTGTTTCTTTTGGTACAATTTGAATATTTTGTTTAAGAATTTCAGTTTTTTTTTTAATAAAATGAGTTAAATGATTATTTTATTCATTAGACAGTCTAATGCTTACTAAGTTACATAATACCGGGGTATGTGAATAAGAAAAAATATGTTTTCTGCTACTGTGTCTGAATGGTGTCAAGATACATATGTATCATAAATCTATTTTCTTATCAAAGTTTAAGAAAAAATTGCATTCATTATATTAGATATGCTTCTTATTTCCAAAACATTTTTTCTAAATTTCATTCTTTAAAAATCATTGCTGGATATGCATTATGAAATTGTCTGAAAGATTACACACTCATCATAAACCAAATTTATCAAATTGCTGACCAAATTCTAAGGTGATTTAAAATTATTATACAAAAATATTTATTCGACAACATCTAAACAAGTGGTATTTTTGCAATTTGAAACCCCCTGTCTATATCTAATCATTTAAGTACAATTATAAAATTTAAATACATCCGAGTAATTAACAGTAAAGGTTAATCCAGAAATAAATGTTTGGGATTGAGACAAGGGAATTGAGCCCGAGATGGATTTCCTTGTGTTGCAATCCCCCTCCCCTTTTTACCCATAAATACTTAATTCTACACAAATGGTGACAATTATTTTACACCTCACCAGCCATATATAATTTTAAAGCCTTTTAATGCCTCAATTCCCATCCCCTAACCCCAAACAGAGACTTGATGCATAATTCTGGGATGAAACTGAAAACTTGGTTATGAAATAAACAAAATAAAAATATAAAAAAAATCTATGTCAAAATTGTTATTCTACAAAATCATTTGAAATTGAGACGCATTTCAAATAGAAAAAAACCCATTGGCATAACATAGTGAGTGTATCTAATGACATGCTCACCTTGCATGAGCTGACTTCTTCTGCTCTTACTGAAAACACACAATGTAAGCAATTGTTTTACATATTTGACAAACATTGAATGTATGAGAATATGTATTGTAGAATCTTTCACATAATCAGCACGAAGATTTACTTAGATATCATTTCAGCACTATATAATCTGAACAGATAGTTACATTATACATGTATTTGAAGCCTTCTTTATGCTACATGCATACTTGTCAACTCTCCCTATTTTAGAGGAAGACTTTTGGACACTAAAATTGATCAACTTTTGATCAGTCAATTGCAAAAATTGATTCCTTTATTTTCAAATATGATGATTTCATCTGAAAGAACAGTTTAAAATTAATCATTTAAAAGTGTTCTTTTCCCCCTAAGGGGTATGTACAAACATTTCATTTGTCTTTAATTTTGAGCATATGGAATCTCCCCTGTGGAATTTTCAAAAGGTTGGTAAGTATATCCTAAGGGAATTATCACTTA